CCCCAACAACAATGAATCTGCATTCACAGAGAGTAGAGAATTCCACGCATCACTTGCCTAAATGGACTATTCTACTGTCATTTGAAAAAGTAGTCAATTGTGTAAAAGACACAAACTGAACGCAAGCACACAGGTTACATATATGGACGTTCACATACTGAAGGACATTATTATCTGCCGTACAAACCTGTGTCTTCTCTTTTTCCTGGAGCCAGATGCAGATCTACAAAAACAAAGCCATTGTAATGTCAGCGCGAGGTCAGCAACTTCACAAAATATTGACATGAATAATTCATATGCAGAACACAGTATCTTTTTTTAAAACACATTTTACATATTTATATATTTTTTACATATACATTTTGTGAGACTGTGTACCACATTTTAATTTTTTGAGAGCAATCCAGGCCTTCTTTTTCTTCTTCCTTCTAATTTTTTAAGGTATTCTTGAGCAATAATTCTCCAGGCTTGCTGAAGGGCTCTCAAAGTTTTTCTTCTTTTTTTGTGTTTATTTGTTAAGCCATTTAACACAAACCTATGAATTATTCAAGTATAAAAAAAGTGCTGTACAACTAAAAGAATAAAACAATAAAAGCAATAAAACACAATACAAAAGAGAACAATGGAAAATTGAAAAACAAATATCAAGAGGTTTAAATACAGAGGAATAAAAATATATTCTCAAAAGAGTTTAGATGTTCAGTGTTGGTGAGGTGGTGATATGAAGGGGAACACTGTTCCAAAATATAGGTGTAGCTACAGCAAAGGCCCGATATTTTGCTTGTCAGTATAATGGGAAACATCTGGTCAGCTGTTCTTGGTGATTTGTTAAAAGATCAGAAGGTAAGGAGGTGCTAACGATTTAATGAATGTTGAAGTTTCCATTTAATGAAACTTAAAAGCAAGCAGTCTGTGAAGGTTCTCAGTCATCCAGGTCATCGTAGTCAAAGGAGCTTGCAAAGAAAAGCGTCTGGACTTCTTTAAGTTACTTAAAGATGTTTCACCTCTCATCCGAGAAGCTTCTTCAGTTCTAAGGTCAAATGGTGGGGAGTCCCAGATTTAAACCTAGTGGGAGTATCCCCCCACAGAGGGACAAAAGGACCCCCTGATGATAAAAGCAAGCAATAACATTTTGAAATGTATTTGTGCGCTTGGGGGCACATGAGACATGTGAGTCGAGCTGCAGAATTTTGGAAGTTGCAGAACAGACAACAAATACCTGGTTAATGCTCAAATAAAGACTGTTGTTACAATCTAGCCTGGATGACACCTTTACAATGGAAACTGGCTCTAAAAACAGCATTTATTTTTTTATCAAATGTGAAGCTGCTCTCAAAAATGACCCAGAGGTTTTTATAAAGGCTGTTTTTGAAGGACCGACATCAAGTACTACTGCTTGTTTTTTTTTTCTTAAGGTTCAAGAAGTTTGATGTTATCTATTTATATTAATATTTTTATGTCAGTAAGACACTAAAGTAAAGCATTCAAAAAGACTGCAGTATTTCTTTTTGAGAGGGACATGGATTTGTGAATTATCACCATGCATAATGGTGACATGAAACTCCTTATTTTTGATCTTTTGATATTAATAGGAACATATAGGAACATAACAAGGGAAAAGAGTACTGGACCAAGGATGGTTCCTTGGGGGACGGCTGCATGTGAGAGAATCAGGTGATGAGAACAAGCCACAGAAAAATTTGCCCACGTGGCTCTCCAGCCTAGAGAATATGATGCTATGATCCACTGTATCAAATGTAGCATTTATTGTAGATCTAAAAGTATTAAAATGGCAGAATCCCCTGAAGCTGCAATTAATAAAAGATCATTAAGCACCTTTAAAATTGCTGATCCCGTGCGATAGTGTGCATTGAAACCAAACTATTACAGTGACAACATTTGTTTTCAGGGAGGCCTGAAGGTGATGAAAAACAACTTTTCCCAGAGTCTTTACAACAATGTCAGGGTCTAAAAATACCAGAACGACTGATGGAGACAAGGCCATTGATAGCAATGCTACATCCCCGGACACAGCCCCACTTAATGGCTGACATAACTAGCTCGCAGAAAAACTTAGTCGCTAAAATTTCTGAGCTGGAAGCAAAAGTTGAGACCAAGTGCCAAGCTCTCAATGGCCTGATCGATTCGCTTCGCAGCAATGTTTCTGACCAAACAGATGAAGTGCGGACTGAACTTTGTGCTAAGATTGATGCTCCAGCTACTATCTGCACTGACCACCATAGCCGGCTAACTAGCCTGAAAGAAGCTGCAGTATTCGGATCGGGTTGTGGACTTGGAGAAGCAAGTTCATGATCTGAAAGAAATTGTATCAGCTCTTTCAGACAAGACCGAAGACCTTGAAGGGAGACAGTGCAGATGCAACATTCGAATACTGTACTTGGCGTGAGGGAGCGCTTTGAGATTCGGACGCGCCCATGTCAATTCTGTGGCCCAGCTACTAAAGGAGGTGTTTGCCCTGAATACCGCTCCGACACTGGATTGGGTACATCGCAGCCTACAGACCATCCCTGCAAGAGACCAGAGACCCAGGCCACTTATTGTCAAATTTCACTACTTTCAAAAAAATGAGGTGCTGCTTTGCAGGCCCGCGTTAAACAGTCCCCAGTCCCATAATTGAAACAAAATCCTTTTTGTCTCCATTATTGTCTCCATTCCCAGACCTGCCATCTGCAGTCGCAAAGAGAAGGGGGGCCTTTAAAGAAGCTAAAGATCTACTGCACAGATGTCAGGGTGTGAGATTCGGGATGCTGTACCCAGCGAAGCTGAGGATTTCTTCTCCTCTTGGAGAGGAAATATTCACCAATCTAACGGCTGCTAAAGACTACGTCAAGAATTGCATCTTAGCTGTGTGTGGGAATCAAGACACGGGCTGAGTAGACTGTGCTACCTCAATTGCTCTCTGACTCTCTATTGTTCACTGACTCTGACTGCACTTTAGATAGAGGTTTGTACTTTGGCGTCTTTCATAATTTAATAGGTCTTCATATACTTGTTTATCACTGAGCAAAGTAAACAACCAAGAGAAGTCATGTGTGCCTTTCCAATCTGCCAGATGTCTAAAAATTATGTTAATAGTTGGCGTTCCCTGTTAGGGGCAACATCTGTTTTAGGGAGTGAAGAGACATGTTGGATATAAGCTCTTTTGGGGGGGAAGGTGTAGCTTGTTCCTGGTTTGTGGGAGTTAGGTTTACAGGGAGTGCAGAATTATTAGGCAAGTTGTATTTTTGAGGAATAATTTTATTATTGAACAACAACCATGTTCTCAATGAACCCAAAAAACTCATTAATATCAAAGCTGAATGTTTTTGGAAGTAGTTTTTAGTTTGTTTTTAGTTTTAGCTATTTTAGGGGGATATCTGTGTGTGCAGGTGACTATTACTGTGCATAATTATTCAGCAACTTAACAAAAAACAAATATATACCCATTTCAATTATTTATTTTTACCAGTGAAACCAATATAACATCTCCACATTCACAAATATACATTTCTGACATTCATAAACAAAACAAAAACAAATCAGCGACCAATATAGACACCTTTCTTTGCAAGGACACTCAAAAGCCTGCCATCCATGGATTCTGTCAGTGTTTTGATCTGTTCACCATCAACATTGCGTGCAGCAGCAACCACAGCCTCCCAGACACTGTTCAGAGAGGTGTACTGTTTTCCCCCCTTGTAATTCTCACATTTGATGATGGACCACAGGTTCTCAATGGGGTTCAGATCAGGTGAACAAGGTGGCCATGTCATTAGTTTTTCTTCTTTTATACCCTTTCTTGCCAGCCACGCTGTGGAGTACTTGGATGCGTGTGATAGAGCATTGTCCTGCATGGAAATCATGTTTTTCTTGAAGGATGCAGACTTCTTCCTGTACCACTGCTTGAAGAAGGTGTCTTCCAGAAACTGGCAGTAGGACTGGGAGTTGAGCTTGACTCCATCCTCAACCCGAAAAGGCCCCACAAGCTCATCTTTGATGATACCAGACCAAACCAGTACTCCACCTCCACCTTGCTGGCGTCTGAGTCGGACTGGAGCTCTCTGCCCTTTACCAATCCAGCCATGGGCCCATCCATCTGGCCCATCAAGACTCACTCTCATTTCATCAGTCCATAAAACCTTAGAAAAATCAGTCTTGAGATATTTCTTGGCCCAGTCTTGACGTTTCAGCTTGTGTGTCTTGTTCAGTGGTGGTCGTCTTTCAGCCTTTCTTACCTTGGCCATGTCTCTGAGTATTGCACACCTTGTGCTTTTGGGCACTCCAGTGATGTTGCAGCTCTGAAATATGGCCAAACTGGTGGCAAGTGGCATCTTGGCAGCTGCACACTTGACTTTTCTCAGTTCATGGGCAGTTATTTTGCGCCTTGGTTTTTCCACACGCTTCTTGCGACCCTGTTGACTATTTTGGATGAAACGCTTGATTGTTCGATGATCACGCTTCAGAAGCTTTGCAATTTTGAGACTGCTGCATCCCTCTGCAAGATATCTCACTATTTTTAACTTTTCTGAGCCCATCAAGTCCTTCTTTTGACCCATTTTGCCAAAGGAAAGGACATTGCTTAATAATTATGCACACCTGATATAGGGTGTTGATGTCATTAGACCACACCCCTTCTCATTACAGAGATGCACATCACCTAATATGCTTAATTGGTAGTAGGCTTTCGAGCCTATACAGCTTGGAGTAAGACAACATGCATGAAGAGGATGATGTGGACAAAATACTCATTTGCCTAATAATTCTGCACTCCCTGTATAGTTACTCTGGGTTTTTACTTTTTCTTGTTGGCTGCAGTTTTGTGTGTATACTTACTCCAAATTATTATTCGGCTTGCTTGTCATGACTGTCTTGAAAGTATGAATATGGCTATATAACCAAACTACAACTGCAACTACACCTGATTCTGATTTATAACATGGAATGTAGAAGGTCTGAATAATTTTAAAAAGCGTAAAAGGATATTCACTCATCTGTCGACTTTCAAACCAGACATTGTCTTTCTACAGGAGACACATCTGCGCTCCACGCAAAGCAATAGGTTGACACAAAGTTGGGTCTCCCAGGTCTACCATTCTGCATTTAACTCTAAATCGCGGTGGGTTGCCATTTTTGTTAGAAAACATTTTCCTTTCATCACTTCAAATGGTCGCTTTCTGATAGTTACTGGCAGGCTCCACAACACTCCGGTTATTTTGGTGAATA